CAGGAGAGTGGGACATATTGGGAAGGAAAAGAGGATGGTGGAGTTGGGATTGGTTGGGAGGTCGAGGAGACGGGTGAGGAGAGAATGGTGGGGAGGACTCGGGGACAAGGATGGTTGCTGTGGATCAGCAACGCACATGAGCCACACCAACGCCAGAATTTGATGAAAAACTGTACCCAAATGGATCCATGAGTATCGTCGGGGGTTGATCAGTCAGGGAGCTTAGTTAATAAGCACCAAGACTGACCAATCCTTTTGACGATCATTGGTGTGGTGGTCACGGAACTGTGTACGTTTAGGGGTGATCCTGGAAGGCATGGGTTCGAATCCTGGCCGGGTCATATATATATATATATATATATATATATATATATATATATATATATATATATATATATATATATATATATATATATATATATAATATATATATATATATATATATTAGTATATTTTGGTAGCAGTCTTTCCTGTAGACATATATTATTAAATATGACCGAAAAAGTAAGATTAATAATTCTAACACGAATTTTCTCAATCAAAGTGAAAAGCCATGCAACCTCTGAAAAGACAACTAACACAACACCTATACCCCCTATTAGCCTATTTTACAGGAACTTCTTTTCCACAGCTCATAAAACGGAGGAAAGGGTCCTGAAAGACATTGTTAATAGAAACGTTATCCCTACAGACAAAAATCAGAGGATACAACTGACGATTTACTATAAAACCAGAAAAACGGCCAGCCTACTCATGAGAAACTCTCCAGACACAAAACAGAACGCTTTAAAAGAGACTAACGTCGTCTATGCCTTCAAATGCCCACTTGGGGACTGTAAGCTCCAAAAAACCCAGTATATAGGCAAGACAACAACATCTCTTTCTAGGCGTTTAACGATGCATAAACAACAGGGCTCCATTAAGGAACATATAATCTCTTCCCACAACCAAACCATCGCCAGAGAAATCCTAGTAAACAACACAGAAATCATCGATAGATACAGCGATTGCAGGCGGCTTGACGTTTGCGAGGACACATCAAGAAGTCAACACCAGCAATCAACAGCCAATTATTGCACAACTATATTCTACCCACCTCAAGACTCCGCTCCAATATAGAAGCATCAAGAAATATGGACCAATAGGCTTTCTACAAACACTTCTATTCAATATCCATTGTTTCGTGTTCTGTCTTGTGTTGATGAAATTAATACCCTATTAATACTCTTGTTCTGTCTTGTGTTGATGAAATTAATACCCTATTAATGCCACATCTTGTTCTGTCTTGTGTTAATGCCACATCACCCCTTCCACCTCACTCAAATGTAGATATAAAATCGGAGATACGTAAGTTCTATTCAGTTGTGTATTTGTGAACTAAAGTCTTTGAAAATGTAATAAGTTTTACGAAACGCGCCCGTGTCGCGTCAGACTAGAAATAAAAATGAATTTTGGAGAATTGATTTTTGATTTACCTCCAACAGTGAAGCGTAATGTACGAAAGATTGAGAAAATTCGTGTTAGAATTATTAATCTTACTTTTTCGGTCATATTTAATAATAATATATATATATATATATATATATATATATATATATATATATATATATATATATATATATATATATATATATATATATATATATATATATATATATATATATATATATATATATATATATATATATATATATATATATGTCGTTAGTTGCCATTTCAGAAGATGAAATGTCGTTATTTGACTCATCGGTAGTTTCTATGTCTTTAGTTGCCTCGACGTTAATTACCACTTCGATTTTTACCTCGTTGTTAGTTGCCTAGTCGTTAATTGCATTGTAGTTAGTTGCTCATTTTAGTTGTTTTGTTGTTAGTTGCCTGGTCGGTAGTTGCTTCGTCAGAAATAGCATGGTATAGTGGCCTTGTTACTTCGCTCGTAATCAGGCGTCTCATCGCTAGTTGACTTGTCGTTATTCTGTTCTGTCCAGCTATCTTCAAAAGAGTCATGAATACACTGTTTACGGGATTCTGATTCCTGCTTTGATTGCCGAATCAGATTCTGGTTTTCTTCCTCAACTCTCTCATCTTCTCTTACAATGCTGCTAATGTTTAATATCAGAACCATTGATAAGCATACGATTACGAATTGAGGAAACAAGAAATATTGCTGAAGGTGATGATATATTGCCTAGGGAAATAATGAAGGTAGTCCTCCGGATGCGAAGATGACCATGACTTCAATATATCAGGTCGGTGGTGGTTTTGGCAGATGATGGAGGGTGAGACCAATCCGGGTCAGGAAGGCTCGCCCACACACTCGGACACATGTGGGTGGGTGGTACCGTGAGGTGGAGGGTGCTCTAGCTTTGTGCACGAGGCGCATTTCCTCTGGGTCATTGCAGTCTATCTATTTTCTGTCGGCAATACTTTGGTTTTGCAAAGTTTAAAAACTTTTGCAACTCCAATAATTTGCTTTTCCAAGTTGTACAGTCTTGAGCAAGTGACTCCCGAGAATTGGTGTTGATGTCCTGGTCTCTGTGGGGTCTCATTGTTCCACGATAATTTTCAGAAGCACCAGAAAAAATTTATTCGACTTGCCACGATTTATTTGTAATTGAGTAAAGAAATGTTATATTTTTAATGTTTCAACATGACCTATTAATAAAACAATGAAGTTTTTTAAAACTTTCCTTAGTTAAATATTCAGCTCACAGTTATTATTTAAGTAACTAGAGTTTTTTGGAAGAAAAGAAATTTTGCTTCTGTTGCGAATTTTTGTGGTGATCAGGAATTAAGCTATTGGTCATGAACATTACCGATGCTCCTCCTTCTTACTCACTATTAGTTTTGTTTGTCAAAGAGTTAAAAAATGTCTAGGTTATTGCTACAGTACGCGAGTACTGTACAAGAACCCGATCCAAAACATTACAAATTAATTGTTAAGCAAATGTAGTTTATTAATGCTAAAAAATATAATTTCTGGCAACTCCAATAACGGGTTATAGATGGAGCGAACAATGTTTTGTGTTTCCCCCCATTTGACAAGTGGAATTGTAAACAGAGATATGAGAGTGGCGTGGTTAGCATATTAACACGGAAACCAGATCTGTATTATTCTTAATCTTGTCTTTGTATTGGTACAACAATCCTACCTTAAAACTTAAGAGTAGTTTTTTACATTCTTGTCATATTTACTAGCCGAATATTAAAGCTTGACCATTCCAATCTGCAGGAGGCTTATGTTTGAAGAAAGTGAAAGTGGTAACAGGTACCCATACACTCTATCTGTGGTAGCAAGTACACATACATTCCATGTGGGGTAGCACGTCACAGACACTCTATGTGTGGAAGCGTATACACAGACACTATATGTGTGGTAGCAGGTATACATATACTCCATGTGTGGAAAATTTTCACCTATATTATAATATTACATGTCTGAGTAACATGGTCCATGAAAGCACATGGACCAGGCATGGCTATTCATGGTACAATCCATGCTCTCCCAAGACAGAGAGAGTGTCAATTCAGCATAGTTCGACCATTTTGTGAACACCATTCAATGGAGCATCTTTAATGGATCCATACCAGTATATGTAATTATTTCTAATAGCTAGTCTGCTATAATCATATAATGGTAATACTCCAAAATAAATGCATATACTCAATGAATAATTTTTAACCAAATACGCTTGGTTAATTATAGTATAAATGGATACTTAAAACAGACAGGGGTAACTATAACTCGCCTTGGGGGTGGAGCGCATTTGTCTAGATGCTGTCACGACAGTAAACATTGTTCCTCCACCTCATAAAGACACTCCACGAGGTTCAAGCTGCTTAATTACATCCATTTTAACATCTGTTAACCTTTATGTAGGGGTGTACTCTGCACATAAAAGGTATAAAAACTTTAAGATACAAGGTTTAAAGTGATAAGAGTGTGTTTTGCCATAAACAGTGAGAGGAGTGTGTGGTAACACAGACTAACACAGCAGCGACGACACAGACGCGCTCACACTAACTAAGCATTGCTATACCACCTCATGGGGAAACATCACGGTCATACACGCTTAGTCTTAGCAGTTTTACAACCGTGGACGTTTGGTTAGTGGTGTAAAATACAAATAAAACCGATTTAATTGTTCACGTACTGTTTAAATCGCTAGGTGCATGAAAGATAAAGAAGTTGAGAGTGGAGTGTGAGCCACTCCTGAAGCCAGAAGCCGAGGAAGTCAAGCAGACGCCATTACAGCACCATTTCAACTTCAGTAGCGAACAACACTTCAAGCTCTGGCCCAACAAGAGGGTTAAATCTTAGCAAAATAAGACTAAGAGTTCTTTACCTGCATCTTAATAAAAAGGGGAGGTTGGTGGTCTATATAGAAATTGGATTCAATACTTTATACCACTAACCACATTTATTGCAGGTGCAGTTATATGGACAATGCGCTTACAAGCTCACCTCAGTAAGTAAATTACTTGCCACTAAAATAAAAAATATACTAACTAGGTTAATTAATATTTAACAAATACTTGATATATTGTAATTGCTTAAGGATAAATTAAAGTATATATTTGCAATAAACAAATTCATAGCAAGAAAGTGTAAAATAATCTTGTCATTGTTTATAATATAATACATATATGGTAAGATACAAGATCAAAAGGATAGGATAAAATAATTTGTAACCGTATCAGTTCTAGCCGCATTATACATATTCTAATATTTTTGCCAAATTGTAAAGTGGTGATTTTCATCCAACAGGTAAATGAAAGCAACACCATTCCTGTTGGATCACTCTGAAACTGAGCCACCTAGAGAACGCAGAGAATAGATGTAGTCCACTACCTCACGAGGAAAGCCACACTTTCCTAGCGGCCTCTGGATATGAGGTTAGATCTTTCCTTTAGGGAGTCAGAAGGTTAAAAATAAAACACACCATATGTGGTAGCAGGTACACAGACAGTATTTAAAGTAGCAGGTTCACAGACACTATGTGTTATAGCAGGGTACACAGACACTATGTGTGGTAGCAGGTACACAGACCCCCCTCTAACATTCTTCAGCTCTCATGACAGCAACACAGAACTTCCACATGGTTTGACAATAATGTTGGACAATAGAAAAGTATTATTAAAGAACTCGTGTATCTGAAAGAGGGTTGAGAAGAGAGGTGGTAATAATGTCGGAATTGAGGTTAGTAAGAAGACTAGTAAGCAAGTTCATGTATCAAAGGCTTGGAAATGACTTATTGAATAATAAATCGTCTTTACAGTGAATGTTATTTAACAATTGCTTTTTACATTGACTGGATTATAGCACTATCCGACTCCATTGTGCATTGTTTGCTGGAAAATGCTAAAATTCTGTTATAACTCTAGTTAATTATTTTTTTCTACTAATAAGTCATTTGTCACATAAACATGGAGAGAACGTTAAACGGCTTTTGCCCTCACCAGGAAAACAGAGTAAGGTTTAGAGAAAAATTTCTCTTTTAGTGTGAAATCCTTATCATTCCATGTGTGTGTATTTTAAGTCCTTCCAACATACACAAATTAGAAGACTAGATAACTCTAATTAACTTTAATTACACAATATTCACCGCTATTAGATATATATAATCTTAAACTTGTTACATTTGCCTGAGAAAACATATCCATGAAAGTTTCCATATCTTAATGGAACTGAGTAGCAATTACCTCAACAGTAAAGACGAGACTACCTATAAGAAGACCCACCATAAGCAATATAAGAGGCCCCTGCATGTGCACTAAGTTCAAGGCATAGATAGTGTTGTCGGACTGGTAACTTGGCGTCGTATCCTGCTGCGCCAGTTCCTGCCTCGAGCGACTCTTGCGTTTTGCCTCCATCAGCATGTCCCGACTCCACTTCTCGTACAAGCCTGCCTGGTGATATACTCATTATCAGCCTAAAAGAGCTAAAGTTGATGTGTAATATTTTTAAATTCTGTAATTAATGTTTGTCTTTACAATTACTAAACGTATAAAGTAGTTAACACAATTAATTATATATGTAAACTATATGTTAAGCACACACACACACACACGCACGCACGCACGCGCAGGCAGGCACGCACGCGTAGGCAGGCACTCACGCGTAGGCAGGCACGCACGTACGCACGCACGCGCAGGCAGGCACGCGCAGGCAGGCACGCACGCACGCGCGCACGCACGCACACACACACACACACACACACACACACACACACACACACACACACACACACACACACACACACACACACACACACACACACACACACACACACACACACACATATCATGCAAACAAAGAAGATTCATCACTCGAAAAAGGCGGGCAGATCTCGCATTGACACCACCAAGACCAGCAACCAGGACAAGGTGGAAGATTTTGCACACGTGCTCGAGGAAGCTCTCCCTGGCCCAGCTGGGGTCACTGCCTGTAAAAGATGGGAGCACTTTAGAGACGCTGTGTTCAACGCTGCCATTTCCACCTTTGGCAAGAAGACCAGCAGGTCGGCAGACTGGTTCGAGGCTCACTCGGAAGAGATGACACCTGTCATCGAAGAGAAGAGAAACGCCTTGGCAGCCTACAAAGCCTGCCCAAGTCGGCGCAACTTACAGATCCTTTGGTCCGTTCGCTGCAAAGTGCAGCAGAGAGCCAGGCGATGTGCCAACAACAATTGGCTCCAACTCTGCTCCCAGATACAGACTGCAGCGGATACAGGCAATGTAAGGGGAATGTATGACGGCATCAAGCAGGCCCTCGGCCCAATACAGAAGAAGACCGCTCCTCTGAAATCTGCCACAGGCGAGGTGATTCAGGACCAGACACTGCAGCTGAAGCGCTGGGTCGAGCACTACTCTGAGCTATACGCCAGGGACAATGTGGTCACCGAAGACGCCCTGAGCGCCATTGAGTGCCTGCCTGTGTTAATGGAGCTCGACAGCGAACCGATCCTCGAAGAACTCAGCGAGGCTCTAGACTCCTTTGCTTCTGGCAAAGCTTCAGGCAAAGATGGCATTCTTGCTGAGACCTTGAAGTGCTGCAGAGGTAGCCTGCTCATGGAGCTGCATGAAATTCTCTGCCTCTGCTGGGAAGAAGGAGAGGTGCCACAGGACATAAGTGATGCCAACATCTTCACGCTGTATATGAATAAAGGTGACAGGGGCGACTGCAACAATTACCGTGGAATCTCCCTCCTCAGTATTGTCGGAAAGCTGTTTGCTCCAGTCACATTGAGGAGGCTCCAAGTACTTGCAGAGAGAGTCTATCCAGAATCACAATGCGGATTCAGAGCTAACAGGTCCACCATCGACATGATCTTTTCCCTCAGACAACTGCAAGAGAAATGCAGCCACCCTTCGTAGCCTTCACAGATCTGACGAAGGACTTCGACCTCATCAGCAGATGTGGCCTGTTCAAGATCCTCCCCAAGATTGGATGCCCACCCAGGCTCCTCAGCATCATCAGATCTTTCCATAAGAACATGAAGGGCACCGTGGTCTTTGATGGCCTAACATCAGACGCCTTTGACATCCGAAGTGGAGTAAAGCAGGGCTGCGTACTGGCTCCAACCCTGTTCGGGATTTTATTCGCAGTTATGCTGCAACACATCTTCGGATCTGCCATGGAAGGCATTTACATCCGGACCAGGTCGGATGGAAAGCTCTTTAACCTCGCCAGGCTCTTTAAGCTCGCCAGATCGCACAACAACACCCCCTCCCCCCACAGCTTTACTGTGGGAGGCCTACAGGGCGCCGGCGTGGCCCTCACTGCCCTTATATTCCAGTGTAAATTCACCTGTTTCATCCGTTTTTGTTGAGATGGTCCACTCTGGGCACTTCCTGTCCACTCCTGCACCTTCCCAGGATATTCACTCAGCATCTTGTGCAGGCTAGGCTCGGTGGCGCCAGGATGTCGCTAGGTATGGCTCAGTAAACAACAGAGCCTCCCTCCATGCTTCCGCCCGCCACTGCATCTCGTGACTATATTATATACATATATACTAACAGTACCCGGAAACGCGTTGCTGTGGCTAAGCAACGCATGTGCGTTGCTGAGCCACAGAAACCTTCCCTGTCCCTCAGTGATCCCCACCATTCCCCCTCACCCGTCTCCTCGGCCTCCCAATCATTCCCCACTCCACCATCTCCTCTTCCTTTCCACCATGCCTCACTCCCCCTGTCCCTTTGTCCTCCCCACAATTCTTCTTTCCCCCATTCCCTCGTCCTCATCATCATAATCACCCCCGTCCCCTCGTCCTTCCTTATCATTACCCCCTCCATTGTCCCTTCGTCCTCCCCACCATCTCTCACTTCCGTCTCCTCGTCATACCCACCATTCCCTACTCCCTCGTCCGATGCATTCCCAAATGGTCTGATGTTCCCATCCGAAAATTGGGAACATCAAGTGATCTGATGTCCCCATCACTGAAATCTAAGAAAAACAGGTAAAAAATCAAATGAAAGTATGAAATAAAATATACTATACTCACGAAATGAACGGTATGGTAAACAACACAGCTCAAATCCAATGCAATTCACACAAAATAATTAAATCAAAATGAAAATAAATCAAAATCTATGAAAATTCAATTTATCAATGCAATCAGAAACAATGAAATGGAATGTAACATATTTAGTATAGCATGTGTGTTGCTCTAGCATGCAACAGATGGCGATGGTGTTCCAAGAAAAGCATTATTTTACCTGTCAGAGGTGTGGCATCTATACTTATACATACGAAATGAGCGAAATGGTTAACAACACGGTTCAATTACAACACAATGTCAAACAAAATAAATCAATAAAAAAGTAATAAATCAAAATCTGTGAAAAAAATTATCAATGCAATCGGAAACATTGAAATGGAATTCGTGACATATTTAGTATAGCTTGCATGATGATATTATGTGCAACAGATGGCGCTGTTTTTCAAAAACGCATGTTTTTACCTGTCACAGAGGTGGCATCTATATAGTTGGACTATAAAACCATGCGCCTATTCGAATGCAACGTTGTGTCAAAATTTCAAATCAATCGATGAAGAACTTTCGGAGGTTACAGAGTGTATTGCTCTTACGTCAAACAGTAGGCACTGTTTGTCTAAAAAAGCATGCTTTTTCCTGTCACAGGTGAGGCATGTATATAGTAGATATATAAAAAGACGTGGCTATACAAATGCAACGTTGTGTCAAAATTTAAACGCAAACAGTACAGAGGTTTCGAAGATTTTCCTCACATGAAAAACACAGTTTTTCAGAAAAAAAGCTTGTTTTTTTACCGACACAGACGTGACATCTTTACAGTATGTACATATAAACCTGGCCGGATGCGAATGGAACGTTGTGTAAAAATTTCAACGCAATCGATAAAGAAATTTCGAAGATTAGCGATTTTGAACAAACGAACTATATATATATATATATATATATATATATATATATATATATATATATATATATATATATATATATATATATATATATATATATATATATATATATATATATATATATATATATATATATATGTCGTACCTAGTAGCCAGAACTCACTTCTCAGCCTACTATGCAAGGCCCGATTTGCCTAATAAGCCAAGTTTTCATGAATTAATATTTTTTCTCTAATTTTGTTCTTATGAAATGATAAAGCAACCCATTTCATTATGTATGAGGCCATTTTTTTTTTATTGGAGTTAAAATTAACGTAGATATCAGACTGAACCTAACCAACCCTACCTAACCTAACCTATCTTTATAGGTAAGGTTGGGTTAGGTAGCCGAAAAAGTTAGGTTAGGTTAGGTTAGGTAGGTTAGGTAGTCGAAAAACAATTAATTCATGAAAACGTGGCTTATTAGGCAAATCGGGCCTTGCATAGTAGGCTGAGAAGTGCGTTCCGGCTACAAGGTACGACATATATATATATATATATATATATATATATATATATATATATATATATATATATATATATATATATATATATATATATATATATATATATATATATATATATGTCGTACCTAATAGAAAGAACGCACTTCTCAGCCTACTATTCAAGGCCCGATTTGCCTAATAAGCCAAGTTTTCATGAATTAATGTTGTTTCGTCTACCTAACCTACCTAACCTAACCTAACCTAGCTTTTTTTGGCTACCTAACCTAACCTTACCTATAAATATAGGTTAGGTTAGGTTAGGTAGGGTTGGTTAGGTTCGGTCATATATCTACGTTAATTTTAACTCCAATAAAAAAAAATTGACCTCATACATAGAGAAAAGGGTTGCTTTATCATTTCATAAGAAAAAAATTATAGTAAATATATTAATTCAGGAAAACTTGGCGTATTAGGCAAATCGGGCCTTGAATAGTAGGCTGAGAAGTGAGTTCTGGCTACTAGGTACGACATATATATATGTATATATATATATATATATATATATATATATATATATATATATATATATATATATATATATATATATATATATATATATACATATATATATATATATATATATATATATATATATATATATATATATATATATATATATATATATATATATATATATATATATATATATATATATATATATGTCGTACCTAGTAGCCAGAATGCACTTCTCAGCCTACTGTGCAAGGCCCGATTTGCCTAATAAGCCAAGTTTTCATGAATTAATTGTTTTTCGACTACCTAACCTAACTTTTTCAGCTACCTAACCTAACCTAACCTATAAAGATAGGTTAGGTTAGGTAGGGTTGGTTAGGTTCGGTCATATATCTACGTTAATTTTAACTATAATAAAAAAATGACCTCAAACATAATGAAATAGGTAGCTTTATCATTTCATAAGAAAAAAATTTGAGAAAATATATAAATTCAGGAAAACTTGCCTT